AAAAATGGAAAAAAGCGAAAACCCCGGAGGTTTTTGAAACCAAAAAAAAAAAAGAAAAAAATCCCCCCCCCCCGAATGGGAAAACCGTTTTAAAGTATTTGGGAAATTTCCGGGGTAAGAAGGGGAGAGGGAAGTTTACATGATGATTGAGGGGGGAAAAAAAAAAGGGAAGTAAAGGGAAATTTTTGGGGCATGGAAAAAAGAGGAGGGGAGGGTAGGTTTATTGGGGAGTAGGAAGGGGTTTAAAAAGGGGGGAAGGGAATTTTTTAGGAAAAAAAAATTAGGGAAAATATTTTTGAGCCCCCTTTGGAAAAGTAGGAAGAAAAGATTGGCCATGGGGGTTGGGTCCTGGGGGAAAAAAGTTCCTTCTTTTGGGGGAGGGGGGGTAAATGGTTTAACCGTTAAGGCATGAAAAAAATTGGGGTACCCCCCCCCCCCCCCCCGCACCCTTTCTCCCTCGTGACGCAGGGGCACTTGGAGTTCTTCATCTGCGACACTCAAGACCTCGATGATCCCGATGACGTCGCCACCCAGGTACATATGTACACGACACAACCGCATCATCAAAAACCAGACACTTGAGACATGCATGCGTGCATGAAAGTATCCGAGCAGCAGAGGAACATCGTTGGCGGCGCGTTGACCTACAGCAGCTGCCTCCCGTGCTCGTCCCCGCCACCCTGTGTTGCTTCTGCTTCACCGTTTCTACAGTAATTATCCATTTGGCTGACGGTTGTTGCTCCTGCTGACCCCCCCCCCCCGATACCACGACGACGCTGCCCGCTGCCCGCAGGAGTGCTTCAACAAGTACCCGCTGACACGTTCGGAAGGCGACGGCGTCAACAGCCCCATCGACCCCAACTACCCCGGGCGCTACTACGCGGACCCCCCCTGCCGTGAGAACGAGACGGAGCAGGACTACGACTGGCGGGCCGGTGGCGGCTACGTCATGACCATGAACTACGACCTGCCCGAGAACCTCGTCTGCGAACACTGCGTCCTCCAGATGTGGTACTGTGAGTGGCGCTTCGTATAGGCCGGTCAGCTGTGGAAGTAGTGGTAATGCGTTCTGCGTAGGCCGGTCGCGACTCGTTCTGTTGCCCACCTGTTCATTTGTGCGTGTTTGCGCGTGTGGCGAGCAGGCGGGCGGGGACACTTCTCTCCCAAAGTTGTGAACAGTTTTCTCGCGCCCAGTTGGTCTGGGATTCTCCAAGGTAGAAAGCGAAACCTTCGCACACGACCCCCCGCCACCGGCAGGCAGTAGCGTGCCCCCCGCTGGAGGCGTTTCCCTTAGATCTTGGGTCTTAGTCGAATGCCGACGATTCGCATGCCTCCCCTCCGAATCCAATCCGGGTATCTTGCGCGGGAAAAAGATTGCTCATGCATAGCGACGGTGTTGTGTTTGCGTCGCCGGGTACATCGCTCACGCCCCTCTACCCCCCCCCCACCCACTCTCCGTGTTGGTGCGACACGACACACAGACACCGGACACAAGTGCTACCACCCTGGATATGAAGAGTTCAACCCCGCCTCCTGGGGGAGCGAGTGCGCGCCCAACAAGTCTGACTGGATTGACCTGAGCATCGACTACTGCGGCGACAATGAGTGGAACCTCGCTGAAGAGTTCTGGGCGTGCTCCGACATCGCGATCACGGCCGGTGCGTGAAAGCATTTATTGACCGCAGAAACGAGAGAGAGAGAGAGAGAGAAATACTTATCTCATATATAGTACTCCTCATCCCAAAGCTCAACTTTGGTCATACACGAAAAGCGTGTTGCGTGAAGTTTACCCCTCTCCTCATTTCCTCTCTCTGCAACATGTTGCTCGACACAACCAGAAACAAACTGGTGTCTCCCTTGCCCCTTTTTTCATCGAATCTGCAGATGGATCGTCGCCTGCAGAGACCCCGACGCCCAGCCCCGAAGCCGCCCTACCGCAACCGACGCCCCCGTCGACGCGACGGCGGAGCCCACCGCTGCAGCTACCGCCGAACCCCTGCATCCGACCCCAGCTCCCATCGAAGAGACGGCGGAGCCTACCGCTGCTGCCACCCCGGAACCCACACCGGCTCCCGTGGAAGAGACCGCGGAGCCCACCACTGCTGGGACCACGATGACCCCCGAACCCATTGAAACCACGCCCCCCCCCACGGACGGTGACGTCGGCGACGGGGAAGAGGCTGAGTACGTCGGCTGCTTCCATGACAACAAGGAGGACCGCATCCTGGGGGACAAGCTCGACTCCGTGGACATGACTACCGAGGTGATGATGAAGACGGGGGCATTTTTGTGTACGCGACTCTGCTGTGTACAACCATTGAGTTCTCGGACCAGATTGGTTCGTCTTGCTGGCTAGACAACGGGACCAACAGCAGGAACGTGGAGATAGCATCTATATTGCCGTCGTATACAAGTGGACTGTTTATCATGTAAATTGCCTTGTTTCGTCGATGAACGTCGGCCATCGCCCCCCTCCCGCCCGCGGCACGCCTTTGGCCCTTGGGAGACACACCCCTGTTGGGAGGAGAAGCCCTCGATATAGACGGGTAGAATTGCGTGCTTCGTCGCTACCATGAATTTGTACCTGAGGCAAGCACCAAGGTCACTCCGTCTCTACCTTTGTTTCGGCCACTGGCGTTCAGGTTTGCCTGGCGCACTGCACGGAGCTAGGCGCTGCGTTCATGGCAACCCAGTTCGGCTTCGAGTGCTGGTGCTCCGCCGATGAGCTCCTCGACTACGAGCGCCACTACCAAATGAACGACGCCGACGCTGTGTGCGACATGTCCTGCCGGGGCGATAAGGTACAGCAGCAGCAAGAGTGCCAAGTGGTAGTTTGACGTGGCAGTCGCGGTGCGGAAAACTTCAATGTTTAACTCTTTTTATGGCAGCATCGATTACGGACACCAGCACAAGCGTAGGTCTAGGTGAGCGTCTTTGGCATATCTGATGACACGGACGGGTGTGCCCAGATCCGAACGGAGGGAACGGGCAATCCCTGCGACATGGTGGTGGTACGTATTATAGCCTAAACTTGATTGCGGTGTTGCTCGTTGTCCCGAGAGCGGCTGGTTCTGCTGCCCGTCCCAGTCGAAGAGAACTCCCAACCCCCGAACTCAAATCCGAGCGTGGCCAGACCGCTCTGTCGATACCGTCATCGAGCCACCAAACAACCCATCGATACTACACCCAATGTGGTCTAAACCTCGTTGTGAACATCGAACACGTCTTTCGCCGCCCTTCTCCACACAGACCCAGCCTTGCGGAGGGTTCAACTCGTTCGATCTCTACAAACTCCAGACGACGTCGACGGTGTTGTGCTCGGGCACTCCGGTCGAGGCCTACGAGCAGGTGGGTCGCAAGTCGCAGCTATTTAGTCACGGTTGACTGTTTGCTATAGTGAGTGCCACCCACCCATGTACGTACCCGATGATGCTTGTGGCGCTTCAATATCTAGACAGGTTGCTATTTGGTTCCCGTGGTTGCTACCGCCGCGGGGCAGTGAGCAAGAAATACAGCTTGACTGAGATGCGGCTCAATCTAACCCACCCCGTGTTTTGTCGATTCTCGCTACCGCAACACGTGATATTCGTTAACCTAGTGCGGGGGCAAGGACTGGACCGGGTCGACGTGCTGCATGGACGGTTACGACTGCACCCAGATGGTCGAAGATGGCTGCTATGCTCAGGTCAGCACAGAAGACAGAAAACATCCAATCGGCTTGGTCCGCTGGAAAGCTCTTGAAGTTGTTGACGGTTGGGAGTGCACACGATCCTTTTGGGCACGAACCGGGAGCAAGAGGCGGACGTATCGTACACCGGCAGACACAGCAGTACCCAGTGATCCCGCTGCGCATCTGCTCCACTTTGGAGGTTTCCGTGACTCTGAGTAGGTGCATGTCTAGGACATGAAAGGCTTCTTTGATAGTTGTATTTTATCGAGAAACGACTCGCTGTGACTCAACATACCTTTTACACTCTACTAGAATAGAAGGGTTCTGCACACGGGTAGCAGTAGTAGCAGCAGTTTAGCCTCAATCAAGCAGGAGCTACATCGAACAAACGTTGATTTTTTGCCGCAGCTCTTGACAACCCCAACCAACAACCCCTCCGCCGCCCCCCCCCTACCCGTGCGCCCACAACACCCAGTGCCGTCCATCGGTCACCGTCGAGCCGATCACCCCTTCACCCGTCAGCACCACGCGCCCGCCCGTCGCCCTCTCCACCTCGGCGCCCGTCGATCCCGCTACCATGGCACCCGTTGCCCCTTCCCCTGTGGCCACACCTGCCCCGGTCTCCGAACCAACGAGGTAAGAACGTTACTCACTCAACGCTTCTACCGCAGCGAAGATGATGCCAATAATGCAGTGTGTCAGGTAATTTAGTGTGAGCACCTAAAACAGCACACAAACGCCAGTACTGTAGTCAGCCTCCCCCGGGGCAAACATTCCCGCACGAACAAACCCGACCCCCCTCCCCCAGTCAAAGTGTACGCACCAAATGAGCAACCCTGCCTAATCTCCCCGCCCGTTTCTTGCTCTCCCCCGCCCTTCCGTTTCAGCGGCTGCATGGTCGTACGCATGGAGGCCGAAGACCTCCCGGTTCTAGGCGACTGGCGCGTCGTGAACGACGCCGACGCGAGCGGCGGGAAGTACATCACCTGGGAAGGCTTGTCCGAGGGGCAGAACAACGGGGACCCCGCGGACGGGGACATCATGTCCGCCTCCATCCAGGTCCCGACCGCGGGCACCTACTCGTTCAAGTGGCTGATGCGCCAGCCCGACGGCGTCGAGAGCGACAAGGGCAACGACGCCTGGCTGAACTTCCCCGACGCCAAGCGGTACGGGCCGGCGGGCACGCAGGAGAGCTACGGCACGTTCATCAAGGTCTACGGCAGGGCCACGAACGGAGACTTCGAGTACTCGGGGACCGGGGAGGACTCTCACGGCCACACCCAGATCGCCGTCGAGTTCGAGGAGGCCGGCGAGTACGCCATGGAGATCTCCGGCCGCTCCCACGGGCTGCAGATCGATCAGATCCTCGTGTTCGGGGAAGACCTCAGCGTGGATGAGGCAGTGGCGAACACCGGCTGCTAAGGGCTGTGATGCCCTCGTGCGCGGGGACGGAGCTACTAGTGTTGCTGGGCTTGCATACCTTTCTTTCTGGTATGCACACCTCTCTTCCGTCTCTTTGTCCCCGCCGTCTAGGATCATGTTGCTGGCAAAGAGAGTGCGTAGTGAGGCCTCGTTGTTTTCAGCTCGCACGCAATCGTGTGTTTTTGCTTTTCCTGATTTCACCCTGGCCATCCCGGAAGCAGTAGGTAGATAGGAGCATCACAATAGCCATGTGAGTAAATGAAATGGAGCCCTCCCCTCGACGCGTACAGCCATATGCACGCGCAGGAGGTTTGTGGTGTTTTGTTGGATATCTATATTTTTTGTGCGGGTGAGTGAACAAGCAGTGCGTTGATTGCTGTGATACGAGTCCTGCTAGATTTGATATTTCGGACAGGAGGAATTCATGCGCCACCTCCGTGGTAGTAACTCTACTGTAGTCTATTGGAGTGACTTTTAGTTGGAGGCTTTGCCACAGTTTCGGTGGAATTCCCTTCTCATAGTTATTTACTTGTGCTTCCGTCGTGTGTGGTTGTAGCGTACTCTGACGTACAAAGTTGTAGCGTCTTGGCGGATTCCCGTGGGACTTCCGAGAATTTTGGTAAAATATCTATGTAAGATGAAAGAGGATGGTGACATTGGACAATGATATGTATGTGCCGTTCCTTGTCTGGTAATCTACCGCCTGCCGTGTTGAAGAAGCTGATGCCAACTCTCCGGGTGGCGTGTTGGCGGTATTGGAGGTTTCACCGTGTTCGTGTACCATCACCGACTGAAATGACGTATGCATACTGCTGCTTGCTGTCGATTGCCAGAAACTGACGTCTGGGTTTTGATTACGTGTACATAGTCGAGCCCAACTTCTCTGTGGCAGGTATCAGGTTTGGTTTCAGGCGGAGGCCTGTCGTATTCGATTATATCATTGAAACTGTCGACAGGGAAGGCCTGCAACTACGGAAGTCTAGTACGTGAAAAATGCCTGTGTGCGCACGCAAACCAAATCAACTTTGGAGAAATAGATTGTTACTGGTAATGACTTGTGGAACTAACCGACGAAATCCGCAATATGCAGCAGTAGTATCGCGAGAGCGGCTACGCGCCGAAGGTGGAGTCAGCATCGGAAATCTTCACGAGGTTCCGGGTCATTGGGTCGTTGAATTTAACTACACTAGCACAATTACAGTGTTGGCCAGACATGGTACGCTGCACAGGCTCCAGATCAAAGATGTATCGCCTTGTGTACCATCTGGTGCTCTCTGTCGAGAGGTAAATTTATCGACCCCTTGTGTGTTGAAAGAAAGACTACATAGATAGCCGGCAGTCAGAGGGGGTGTGGTATCTTACGCTAACACCCGCCGTGTCGTGCAAGCGTGACACTTCACATCCCGTCTCTCATCTCCCATATGGGTAGTCGCTAGACTAGGGGATTCCCGAGTCCAGAGCATCTTGGGCACTGGTGACCCGCACACAGTAGTAGGTGCAGAGTTTGGTCTATATCAGCGAGGGAGCGAGGGATCTTCGGAGCGCGGAGATGCGGCGCAATCGACGCCGATTCGAGGCTCATATCCCATCAATTTTCAATTTTCACAGAGCCCAGAGCCCAGTGAGAAGCGAGACAGCAGAGAGGTTTGGTGTCACTGTCACCTCCACCAGCGGGTGCGTGATACCACCCTTCAACTTGCATCCGAACCAAGGCTCTACCCGTCCGCTGTCTGAAGCATGGTGAGGAGTCACAAAGTTCGGGTAGGTACGGACGACCAAGCAAAGAGTGAGCAACATCGAGCACGAGAGGCTGCAGCAGCAGCGGCATGCGGGAAAATCATCGTTCGATTGAGGCCGGTGCTCCCGCAAGAAGTCGCGGACGGAGAAACACAGAGCGCATCGGCAACAACGCGCGGGTCAGTGGTGGCGTGTTTTTCTTGGTTGGAAGAGTGGTGGGGCACATGCCCTTGTCTTAGGGTTCGTCTTGCGTTGAGTGAGGAGCCGATCCTGCTGCCTCTGCTGCTGCTGCTGTACGTTGGCACGGCAGCAAGCTAATGGGAGCAAATCTTTCTGTTCTGAAACACCCCATGGATCCTCGATCATGATGAACGCTCACCCGCTATCTCACTGCCGGTGCCACTGCTGTGTTTCAGAGGTGAGGTGAAGGTGAAGCTTTTGAGAACAAAGAACTACCGAAGCGCACGCACCCACCACCGGCACGAGCGCGAGGAGCCGCCGGCGGTGCTGCAAGTTGACAGCGTCTGTGGACCAGACTGTAGTACCTCGGAGGCAAGACGGGACGGGTTTGATTTTCTTCTTCAGAGTCAGTACAATACATCACGCCGCGCCATTTGCACAGTTGTCGCCTTGGTTCACTAGCACACGTAAGTACGATGAGATGGAGAGATCCCAGATGCTGGTTGGTGGGTCAAACATGTTCAGTACACTGGGGCCCAAATAGACGGACCACAAAGAAAGCAAAGCACACAAATAAACAAGGCAACGTTCATGATGCGTTGGAACAAATAATTGCCCTCGTCTCCTGACTGGCATCAAGCCTTTGCTACAGAGACCCGAGAGGAGATGTGTACTTTCTAAGCAGCACCATGCATGGATGTTCTTCAAGTTCATCCTTTGTAAATTCAATATTCCACCATGACGGGTTTTCACATTGACTATCCGCTCCCTGGTACATGAATGAATGCGCCTGGGAGAGCCCATTCGACGGGTAACGATATCACCGTATCCCACAATAGTCACCTCACGGCAGATGAACCCCTCTCCTTTGGATTTCAGCTTATTGAATTATCACTCGAGAATGGAACACGTTTCCCATAGCAAGACTCCGTGGTACATACGAGTACGAACCAAGGCAGATGGCCTCCAAGCCAAAACCACTCCAGCAACATATTGGGCTGACCGGGACATAACAAACGTGTTCGAATTGTCGGCAGGTATACGCTACCGCCGCCTCACGCCTAGTCGACCGTGCCGTCACCGGGGGTGGCGCACTCTTACTGGTAGCGGGCACGCCCGGCTCCGGCCGCTCACACACACTCTGGGGGTCCCTGTCAAGGCAACAGGGTCCTGTTCCCCCCAGCGCGGTGGCCGAAGCGCCGGTAGGAGAGCCGGGTGTCGTGCCTCTTGCGCTCGCGGACCTCGCCCGACGTTGGCGGTGCGGCAACGGCAGCCCATTCTGGTCGTCGACAGCGGTAACAGGAAATTCTTCTAGTGCTTCTCCTTCCTGCCCATTTTCGCCCCCTTTGGCCTTTTGGGTCTGTGCTGCCGAGGTATTGCCAGGTGGACTTTCGAAGGGCAGCGGCGGGGGGTTGGAGACGACGACAGTGGCAGAGGCAACCACGCGTGACCTGCTGCGATCGCCGCCTTCTTCTTGGAATCCTGGCGGCGATGGCAGAGGAAGGAAGGCGGCGCAGTCGCCGCGCTCTCCGAGCACGTGGGCGACATCGGCGAGGGACTTGCTGACAGGTTTGACGTCGTCTCCTTCACCTCCTCGCCCCTTACGGTTCTCTGTCGGAAGCGGCGGCGGAGGTTTCGGGCGCCGAAACTCAGTGGGAGGAGGACGACCAGGAAAAGGAGCGGTGGCCGCCGCGGACGGGGTGTTGTTGGCGTCGCGTGTGCTCGCTGGAGTGACCGAGGTCCACGCGGATGGGGTTGAGGCAGCTCTCGCGTTGTTCCGGCGGGTGAGAATAAGCGGTGGGGTTTGAAGGGGCGAGTCGTATGTGGTACCGTTTTTCTCGTGCTTGCCTTCTGAGCTGTCTTGCGAAGAACGCACTTCACGGTCACCCTCTTTCGGTTTTCGAACTCGGTGGCCGCACATCTCTCGATACGCTAGCACCAATGACCGCAAGAATGCACCAATATTGGCAAGGATGCGTCTGAACGGACTGAAATGTGTGGAACTTCTGTCGCTGACGCCGCTGCACGCCCGTACCTGTCCGACACCTTGCGGCCCGCCCCTTGCTGTACCCTCTTCGATGTAGGGCCTGCGGAACCGCCGCAAGGAAGGTCATGTTGTCATCTCCGCGAGACTAGTCTCGGTGGGCGGCAGTGACAAGCGTGTCGACAAGAAACGGGTGCTGGATAGTGCGTTGGTGAGATTCGTGCTCTGTTGTGTTGACGTTGGCTCTGGTTTTATTGCACGTGTGTAGGTGAGGGGTTCTGCCTGTCCATTTTGCTTTTTCGGACTCGGGGGCGGCTTGTGCGGGCAAGGGGGTTAGGTATCAGCCGGTATCCACAGGTGCGGCCAATTTGTCGCTCGTGGTTGCTTCGGTGAGTGTTGAAGTAAACAATTCCAAGAAGAAACATGACTAGGTGCCTCATGTCGGGGGAGAAAAGTTGAATGGCAAATATACACGCAGGGCAGCACTCGAGTTGCACTTCAGGATGCTGGTCATAAACCGATCACCCGCCCTCTCTTCCCCTTCGCATCAGGAAACGGGGGAGCTGGTGTTCGTCGAGCTTGGCGATTGCCCAAACGGTGATCTTCCCCAGACGCTCCGGACTGCACTGGCACACCTCAAGGTACGCGAACAAATCCCGCATGCTACCGACCCGTTGCTGTTGTACCATTTTGTGCACCTGCCCTCCCCCACCCACTCCTTCCGTCACCGGCCGCCAAGCGTCAAGAATCCCGAGTAGTACGTGTGTGAGAGGCGCCAGTGTTTACAGCCACCCGCCCTCCCTCTGCCGAAACCGTGTCCCGCCGTACGCACACCTCCCGTTTGGTTGAAACAACAAACGACGCGCACTCCTACGGCGGCAACAACAGGTCGGAAACCATGGTCTAGGAGGAGTGGACCCCCGAGCGCCTAGATCATCACGACTAGCGACCACCAAGAAGGCAGCAGGCGTGTCGCCGCCGCTGAGTGAGCAGAGTGGCGGTAACAACGTTCGCGATGGCGGCGGCGGTCTCCGCCATGATCCGTTGTGGGCGCTCTTGAGCGCGTTCGCCCAGGCCGGAACAGGGGGGGCGGACACCCATTTGAGGAGTCCCATGACGGTTACAGACGAAGGAGGCGGTAGAGCTGACTTGCGGCCATCAACACCGCATTCTCCCAGAGAGGTAGCTATAACGGGTACCATGAGGGGGCCAAGGGCAGGGGAGGGGGGGGCGGCGAGGGGAGCGGCGGTGGGGAGGGGCCCGCTGGTAGTGTCTGTCATGGCCACGCTGCGCTCGGGAGATGGCCGCTTTCAGGAAGAGAAGGCCTTGCTCCAGGTGAGAGAGTTAAAGAAACAGAAAGTAAGGATTTCTTCGTCCATGCCAATGATAACAAGTCTCTGTAGATACCGAGCAGAGTCCCTGGAGTGGTGATCAACCGTTCGCCAGCGGAGGAATTTTTCTCTCTTGATATGTGGGGAGGAAAAGCGAAGAGTGGCCGAGGTTACTCGGACGTGCTAGTTTCAAGAAAGGTGGAAGTGAGAGAGAGAGGACCTTCGTGGGCATCTCCATATCTTCGAGATTCACGTGAATGGTCGCTGTATTCGGTGAATCTTTCTTGGTAAACATGTTCGGACCGGTAGAACATTGTTCGTAGTCTTCAGATCTTTACTGGCCGCATGGGCGTCACTACCCCTAGGAAGATACCTATATCGTCGTTTCCGCAATTTGTGCACTTCATACATTCTTCAGCATCTACGAGGTACCCAGCCGCTAGGAATCTTCACCTGAAAAAAAAAGACAAACTCTTCAGAATCCTTCATCCGCCCCTCTCTGCTCCGTGACCAACCCCGAATCTGGTTCTCGTTTGGTCTACTGGTCCTGTTGTTACCTTCTCGACCGCCGGGGCGCGCATCGGCTCCTATCGGTGCATGGGAAACCTTGAAAGGTGCTGGCAAAGCCTTGTCGAAATGGGACAGTTTCATGGAGACGTCGACCACTAAGCCGGGTGAGGCTCATTCATTTCTGGTTCCATTTTGGCGCTGTCTGCTTCCCTCTGCTGAAGAGATTCCTGTCCCCGCCGTCCGCGGTACTAAAGCAACTTCGGAGGCAGTACAGGATGCTTGTCTTGTGAAATTTGAGGCGTCGTTCAGAAGGCAAGGTGCCTCGGTGGAAAACGATGAAGTGATTAACAGGGAGGTATATGATGCTGGCAGGCAACCCCCGCTGATTGGAGTACCCCACACCGATGACCTACTAAATATCAAAACAAACCCACCGTTCCTCTCGTTTACTTTGTTGGAGAAACGTCTTGCAGCCATCGTTTTGGCACGCACAGATTCAAGCGACAGCAAGCCAGGATTTGATCACCGGACGTCAGGCTTGCGTTAATACCGAAAGCACATTGTTAACGTGCCTATTGTGTCTCGATCCCTCGTCTTCTTGACGACAGATAATGGTGTCGATGCCGAGCTTCTCATGGCGCTCTTCGCCTACGGGTCCTGCTGGCACGGCGGCAGCGGCTGCTGCTGCGGTGGCGGTGGCATACGGCTCGACAGCGGCGTCGGCGGCCGCTGTTCCCTCCGCTCCGCCGGCCTCTTCCTCAGAAGAGGCGTCGGTGGCGAGGTCAAGCTCCGCGTTCTCACGCTCGGCGTCGTGTTCCTTGTCCAGCAGTGAAGCAGCCGCTACTGCTGCTACTGCTACCGCCGCGGCCATTGGTGCCGGCGGGGACGTTATCGTGTCTAGCGGTGCTGCCGATGGTGGTTTTTGCCCTCCAACCTTTCCATCGAGCGGGGCAACTTCCCTCACGACCGAGGAAGACGTGGTGTGCGGCGTCGGGAACAGCAGTACGCCGTTTGGCAATGGCAGCGGCAGCACTGCCCAGGCTGTCGGTGGCAACCTCGCGCTGCAGAACCTAGGCGATCTGGCGACCTGTGGGGGACATGATTCAGCGAGGACCGGCGGAGATCGTTCTGGTAGCGTCAGCAGTCACAGGTTTTCGATCGAAGAAGCGGACGAGGAAGCGGGGAAGGCAGGGGGTACGATGAAGGCCTCATCGGAGAACCAGAACTCCGAGCGGCGTATGAGCCCGCCGTGGGACGACTCCATGCTAGGTCTCCGCGGCCTCACCCCAGATGAGCTGGTTGCTAGGGTGCTCCAGGTGAGGACGTTTCTGTACAACAGAAAGGCGGAGGAAAAAATACAGGTCTTGGGTTTCACCAGCTGTATCAAGGACCACAGGCAAAAGACAGTGCGGAAACTTTCGAGCCCTATGCACGCCGGCGGACGTATGATTTTTCGAAACACAGGCAAACACTCTTCAGAAACCGGTCCTAGCCACCTCTCTCTGTCTCTCGGTTGGAGTTATGGTTGCTACATGTACCGGCACTGCTAAAGTTTCTCGAACCGGGCGTCGTTGTTCTTTTCTTGTTCCGCCCGTTCCCAGGCAGAGAAAGAGTCGCGCCACTGGCAAGCCCAGCACGCGCTTGTCGACCGCAAACTAACCAACCTGTTGACGGCGATGACGAAGCACAGCCGACGACCTGGCGGCGACGGTGGCCGCAGCGTCTACAGCGGCGGCAGCCTCAACGGTGAGACTGCACGCGTGCCTCCGGAGGCGGATGCTATAGCCACTGGGCAGGGGTCATCGGCACCAGCTGCCGGCTCGTGTCCCGGACAGCCGTCGTGTTTCTCGCCCCACAGAGGTGAACGCGCGACAGAAACAACGGAGGCAACGCCGCGGGTGGTTACTCCAGCTGATGTGGGTGACGCGGGCACGTCCCTTGAGACCGATAGTGCCCGAAACCGCGGGTGCGGTGGTGTTGACGAGGCGAGAGAAAAGGCTGCCAGCGGTATGATTGACGAATGGCATGGCGACGGGGTGCCGATTTCACTAAGGACAACAACGATCGAGGGTGCACGAGGAAAGGAACCGATGCTACACAGTCGCGGTGGCGGCGGCGTCGACATTGCTGTGGTTGATCACGCATCCACCAACAAGCGTTCTCCGCGGAGCACACCGGTTGGCGTGGCGGCCGCTATCGACAGCAATAACCATAACAACGACACCAAAGACAGCGGCAACAACAGCCCGCCTCAGCAGCTGACTTTCAAGGAACGTCGTGCCGTGTTCTCCTCCAACAACTCCGTTCCGGCGCCCCCGGGGGCCGTTGCGTTGCCTTGGTCCGTTGCGGTGGGGAAAGTAGACCCCCGCACGACGCCCTCGCCGCCCCAGTCGTCGCTGCAGCCGGCAGGGTCTTGCACACCACCCACCATTGCGGCGTTTTCTCCGGCCGCCGTGGAGGCCGCCCGCCAGAACCTTAAACGCAGCAAAACCTCGGCAAAGCGTATTTCGGCACCGGTGGCGGTGGCGGCAACCGGAGCCTCACCCTGCCGGGGCAAGGGGCGACCCTGCCGTTCGTCTGGCTCCCGGTCGTCGGCCGCCTCGGTAACGCCGGTCTTGCTCTCTTCTTCCGCGGCGTCGTCCCCGTCCACCGCGCCGTTCACGCCACCGCGTTCACGCCACCACCGTGGCACCGCCGCCGCTGCGCCCTCCCCGCCGGCGCCGTCCCCGTGCAGCACCGCAGACAGGTTTAGGACTACGCCCGGCAGTCCCGCAAGGCTGTCGTCAGCGTCGTCGACTTCATCGTGGGTGCCTTCGCCGCAATCTTTTTCGGCGCCGTTTTCGCCCCAACTCGAATCGCCCCCGTCCTTTCCGAAGCCGATCGCGGAGATGGGGAGGCGAGCGAGAGCTGTCGCTCCAGACGGTGGTGGCAAGCTCGAAGACGAGGAGTTCGGGGGTTCGGACGTGCTGCTGTCCGTACGATCCGGGTTCTGGCAGGGATGGCCCGGCGGCCGCTGCCAAGGCGCAACGGGGACCCCTCGCGAATCTTCCGTCTCCGTGCTTCCGTCGAAAGTTGATCTTCCAGAAGGGGGGCGGCCCGGTGTGAGAAGCGATGTAGGCATAGGCTCAGGGACGGACCAGCCCAGACACCAGCAGCAGCAGCAGCAGCAGCAGCAGCAGCAGCAGCAGCAGCAGCAGCAGCAGCGGGGGCGTGGAACCGCTAGGCCCGCGACCGGTGGCGACGGTGCCGGCGGCGACGTTTCCCTCTCTTCTGGCGCTGGTGCTACTTCTTTCCGTTTGGAAACCTCGCGGTCTTGGTCACCGGCGGTCAAGTACAGTCCATCGGGACCCCCTTCCCTGTCGCCCGCGCATGCCAAGGCCGTATCCGCTTCGTCCTCTTCGATGGCCTCCGTGATTCTAGAGACAGCGGGGGCGGCGCCGGCGGCACTAGCATCGCGTCTGCCGCCAACGGCGCCGACGCTAGCGTCTCGCGCGACCGCTTCGCACCCCGCAGATTTGCAACCTACATTTGCAGCCACAGAAAGTTCGGGATCTGCGGCGGCCTCGTCCCCGTTTTGGAGCGGGACCGCCCTCAGGCAGAAATCCGTACGACTGCAGCAGCCATCGGTTTCAGAATATCATGCCCCTGCTGCTGCCGTTTCCGGTCCGAACCTCGTGCCCGAGGATGATCGCATCGAGGGAGCATCACTAGCAGCAGGAACACGAGACGTGGCGGGACGGGACGGGGTCAAGGTGCGCTACGGCAGCTTTGGTGGTGGAGGCGGTGGCGGAGGCGGAACATCAACGAGACAAGAACTCCCCGACTCCAAACGTTCGTTGGCGTCCCACCAAGATGACGTTGCCGCTTCGTTCCGTGGCGGCGGCGGCGGCGGCGGCAGCGGCAGCGTGGAGGACGCGTGGAAGGAGAGGCCTCCGGGTGTTGGGCCGTGGCCGTTGTTCGAACAGACGAGAGAGGGTAGGGCTTCCCTCGATGACAAGCTGCGCGTCAGCAACCGCGGATCCGCTGGCTCCGGTGGAGGGACGAGAAAGTTCGAAAGTTCAACACCGCCGGAAACGAAAGGTGAGCCGACGGCGACGGTGGTGATCCCGTCGGTGGCGGCCGAAGCTGACCCCGAAGTCTCCATCGGGAATATCAGCACAATGCAGGCTTCTAGGCTTCGAGCTTTGAGGGAGAAAATGGAACGGCGGTATTCCTGGGCACGGGGGACGACGATACCTGCAACAAAGGCGGCCGCGACAAGCTTAGCGGTCAACATCGACGCTTCGCCGCCGATCCCTGAGGGATTCCACTCGTCCCTCCACATGTCGGCGGCGTACTCGAGCCAGAGCCAGGAGGGGATGGTGGAAAGGCCCTGGGGAAGCCGAACAGGGATTACGGCACCCCGTACGGCGACGAGCAGGACCGGGGTCGACAAAACGCACGCCCACAACCAATCCTCCGAGGGGTTCAAGCTGATGGTACCGGCTGGGTGGGACCCTCCCAAGCAACGGTCTGGTGCTGGGAAGGGGCAGGTGCGGGGCAGGGTGCCTGGGTGACGCGTGTAGGGTGTCCGATGGGTTGTTTTAGTTGTGCGCCATGAGAGAGAGAAGAGAGGGAGAAGGAGCCCGACTGAGACAGGGAAGACCGAATTGCCAATACAACGGGCGTAGAACTCCCTGTCACTCTGCCAACGTGGACGACGGGTCCGTCATTTCAATCCTCCTGTAGCACACAGAGAACTACACAAGAAGTGGTCTACGCCGTGAACACAGAAGAACCGCCTGTTTCCGGGGAACCAAGTTGTTCGGGCTCACTTCACCGTGCTTTCTGTGTGTTTCGCATACATACACGTTGTAGTTCCAGACGTATTTCAGGCGAGCACGGAACAAAGACCGTGGGACGTGTAGAAACCGCAACGCGAGCGACTGCAACAAAGGATGTATGACGAAAAAGCGGATGGACAAATGAACATGCTGCCTTCCCCGAGGCGTTGTAGTTTAGGGTGCACCTTCGCCTCTGTTTGGCTTTGGTGTGAACCATAACTAAGTGTGGTGTGAAACTACGTGTATTTTTTCTCGCAAACTTGGTGCTGATGGTTTTTGGCATTTCGTGTAGGGTGCTACACGCAAATGTATTTAGGGACCTGCTTTAGCCGGGAGAGTTGCCTCTCGTGAAGGTTAAGGTTCTGTTTCCACCGTTTTGCACGGCTGATACCATGGCCGTGCCGGGTTTTCCTTGTGGACAACACGAACACTTGACACGTTTTTCTCGGCGTCTGCCGATAAACAATTTTGGGCTTGTACTGTGCAAAACTGTGAGCACTGACTGTACGTACGTGTGTTATTACTCGTCAAGTATGGTACGAAGGGCGGCTATTTTGGTGTATGAATTATCCGCTCAAGACAGCAACTATTTTCTGTATCTGTAACACGCTTGATAGCAGTTAAGAAGGACCCGCGCAGCGAGTTCAAATGCAGCCTAAGTGTTAGGCTATATGCACCTTGCGTCCTCGAAGGTGTGCATTTTTGTACGCATTGAGGCCAGCCCGGATTCTTAATATTGTTGGCTGTGGTCTTCATCTCCGTTGTTCTTCTAGTGTATGTATGCTTCGTTTCCAAAAACCAAGTCGACTTCTTGTGGTTTAAGATTTCTTTCACAGAGCAGGGCGACGTCAGTCACCACACTACCAAATCGTCCATACCGCTCGGCAAGCGCGCGCGGTGGCAGGAGACATCACCAACGCCACCGACCGCTGGGATGAACGAATGCCTGAAACAACGAACGCATACACCGTTCTATTGTACTCCCTCATGCGTTCGACCTCAAAACTATCCACGGATGTCATCGGTATCACGGCACTCGACCACACTAAGACCCCCTGCCGAGTTCTAGGTTACCGTTACCGACCTACAACTATGTACCACGAGGAGTGCAAGCCAGCCCGTTTTCCAGGGGGGGGGAAGAGGTACACCCCCGGCACCCTTTACCACAACGAGCCCCGCCCCCCTCCTGCAACTCCATGACTAACCTCACGTGGATACGCCCGTGTGCACAGCTGTCAACCCGCAAGGCAAAAGCAAGCGAGAGGCTAGCACGTGTCAACACCAACCCAAGAGACCAGCAGTTTTACAGAGGAAATATCGCCCCAAAACAGCAACGTGATCTTTTCGTGAAAGGGATTTGGGCCTACGTGTATCCGATATATCTGGAAGTAGTTTTCGCTACAAGTACTTTGCTATTTTTCGAAACCGAGATTTTTCTCTCTGCATCTTTCCCCGGGACCTCGTTCACTGTCCTTCCCCCGTCTTCTCCCAAAACCATGAATTTTCAACAACAGACTGACAGCATACACGAGATAGTTTAGTCCACAAATCTCCTTCGCAAAAAGCTACCACGCAGAAAGGAGGAAGCACACGCGCGCCCGCCATAATCCCTTACCCTACCCCACAAGTGCCCCCCCCTACGTTCGTCACACACCCCGGGGCAATGAATCGTCGTCGTAGGCTTGAAGAACATATCCTTTGTTGTGGTCTCAATGCAACTCCTCTAACTTACCAACTATCGCTCTAGCAAGCTATCTAGGCGCTTCGTGGCGTCCCTGTCCATTCAGAGGGTGGGAACGGGAAGGAGGAGGAGGGCGCACCAAAACCCCACAGAACCGGTCAAGTCACACCACCACCCTCCGTACTTACACAAACACTCGCTTCTACCCACTCTCGCGGTGCCCCTATCTCTCTCAAGAGCAACAGCACTGCTTGTGAACAAATCTGATTGTAGTTGCTGAAAAACAAGTTCTAACTCAACACGAGTGAGCACGTGCAACTCCCGTACCCTTTTCCCTGTCCCAGCCAAAAACACACACCGCCTCCTGCAGCTGCTCTAGCTGCGGCCTCTTCCATAGGGAGGGCGTCGCTTTCGTCACTCACCAATACTGCGACCATTCCGGGTGCATCATCACTAAAATCTGGTCCGTCTATGGAATAGTAAGATAGACACGCTGCTGCATTTTGATGTAGAACCAAACACCTGCTGCTGCTGCTGCCGCCGCTAAAATCTGTTCCGTGCGGTAAAGTAAGACTTCACGCTGCTTCTACAGCGCCGGCGGCGCGGTGCCGCTGCCGTTGATCCTCTCGTACACCCTGGACCGGTTCCGCGAGTCCCTGTTGCCCAGCCACCACCCCACCGCCACTCCTCCCAGCACGCCTCCCAAGAGCGAACACCCGACGTACAGCATTGCCGCACCACCGCCGCCTCCAGATGACCCCGCGTCATCCTCTGCCACGAACGAAGGAGGGGGAGACCCCGAGTTGTCCCCGGAGGAGGCGATGGCGCCGGCACCGGCGGCGGCGCGGGCGTCCATGAAGTAGTCGGCGTTCGTCTGCCAGACCTTGACGGATTCAATCTGTCGGGAGGGTGTATGTGTGTGTGTGTGTCACGCGGGGGGGGAGGGGGGGAGGGGGAGGTTCACAGGCGTGACTGGTCTATACAGATGCACGAGCTAAGCGTGAGGAGACACGTCGCGTGGCGACTGCAAACGCAGGGAGGGCGAAGTAGGGGTAGTTGACGGTAGTGTTAGTCCCCACGCAAACGACGAAGAGGAGGGCCACGGGCTGCACGGGTCGCAAGATCGCGTGGGTCGCTGCGAGTTGTTTCCGTGTGCTTGGTTGCTCTGCTGGTGACCAGCGTCAATTCGATGACGATGTACGTGGACGACGGGAGGATGACCTGTGCTATCGTCGTTGCCAAGCAGGGCAACACCTGAAGTGCGAACTAGACGTGGAGGCACCTCGACACGTCAACGCTTAACAAGAGTCATTGCTTGTGGTGCATGGGAATCGATACAGCTCAAGAGCTCATCGAGAAAAGAGAGGCTCGGTGTTGGGTTTCCTAAGGGTAGCTCGGAAGCGTTCCGACTGAAGTAGCAAAACTTGAGAATGGTTGTATACGTCGTGCATGCTGCAGCGTTGACGTTGACGACAACGCCGGTGGCGAACAGTAGCATCAAGCCCGTTCGGCTGCGCAACGCTTCGGAAGAAGTGAGGCTACTGCTGTGTTGTGTTGGCAGGCAAGGCGGGGAGGAACAGGGACGAAGAGATTCGGGCGGATTGCTCACACATGGGGCTCGGTCGTGGTGTACATGGACCTTTGCGAGAAGTCGCGTACCACAACAACATATTTTGATGACAAGGAGAGAAGAAGAAAACCCCGGCGGATTGCTGCAAACACAAGCGCGCGTACGGCGGTGATGTTGACCAATCAACATCAATTGGTCCTCCCGGAACATGTGGGGGGGGGGGGGGGGGGGGCCAAAATTTCTAAACCCGGCTTTTCCTTTCAAAAGGAAGGGACCATTTTGGGAACAAAATTGGGGGGGGAAAAAAGGGCTGTACGGGGAAATTTCCCCCGGCCCACCCAGGAAAAAGGCTCTTTTCCTGTTGGGGGGAAACCCTTGCCGCCCCAGGGGCGGGGCCATCCGGGGGGGGCCCCTGAAAATTTCTGGGGGGGGCCCCGTCCTTTTTGTCCCCCATTTTTCCCCCCCGGGAAAGGAAAAAACCTCCCCAGGGGGCGAAAAAAATAAATAAAAACGGGGGGGCCGCCACATGGGACCTTTTAACAATGGGAATACAATGTTATGAACCTGAAATTTTTTTTTCCCCAAACGAAAATCCAAAAAAAGGGGGCCTCCCCCGGAAAAATTGGGGG